AGCACTGAGGGCACTCTTGTGTCCTCAGTGCCATCCTTTGCGTTAGACTGAAGGTAATTTTTTAGTGTTGGAAAAATTGGAAAAGTTTGAATTATTTAGTGGCAAAAACAGTAAACCAGAAAAACAAAACATCAAGTTAAAAACATAAAGATTGCCTTCCCACAGTGCCTGGAATTTACCACATCCCTCTACAGGACGATAGGTTTGACAGAATACTAACATATATAGGATCCATTTACAGATCGTTGCAAGCTAGGCTAAAAGTTCATAAATATGATGTATGAAAAGGAAACATTAATATAGCTCTGGCACATTATGCCAGTGATCCAGGGATTTTCCCCTGTTGTGGGACTGGCAAAACTTTAAAACATTAGAAGCAGTAGAGATCTACAGGACAGACGAGTGAAGCATGCATCAACACAGATGCCATTCATGTACCAAATGCACGGAAATATTATTTAGACTCATAAAATATACGTCATAAAGGAAACGTCACAGCCTTTATTCGAACTTATTTGAAACTTTTAAAATTATAATGCGGCTAATTCTATTTATAGAATGGTTTTTCTGTTTTACATTTCCTGAAGAGGGCCAATAAAGTAGTGGCTGAAAATGTTTGAATTATTGAAGGTATAGGTTTATTTGCTGGAAATTTTTGCATTTAGGTGTGATTCTCTACATGCACAGTTCCAGTTTTCTGGTAAAGTTGTTGTTTATTATATCAGTTGCATTGTTGTGATGATAATCTAGAATGATATGCTGCAAGTATGTGTGGTGTGTGTACTCACAGGGAGTATTAGCATTGTGGGAGTGTATGTTGTTAGAGAGAGCTCAGGCTATATTCCAAATCAGGTTCTTATGGTATCCATGAGTAAAAGCAACCCACTCAACATGTTTGAGTTCTGCAAGTGTATCTGTGTAATCTGTACAGTATGTAAAAGCACTTTTAATGTAGGTCCTGAATGCTGCTATTTTATATATGTAAGAATTGTGGGAGCTTGTTGATATAAATAACTATATGTACATTGGTTTGTAATAAACATTTGTATGTACATGGTTATTTTTGATGTTTATCAGTTGATCTAGAAAATGTACACTTGTATTGCTGGCTTGATCTAACTCTACATTAAAGCCATATGGGTTATTGTTAATTGTGTAATAAAGTTATTAATATCAGGTTTTTCTTTCCAGATAATGATAACATCATAAACATATCTTCTGTATATGTGTATTTCTGGTAAGAAACCTGGTGAAAACCTGTTTTGTAATAATCCAATTGCCATCTTGCTAAGATCTCCTAATAATGGACTGCCCATAGTACTCCTTTACATTGTATTGTACATATGTATTGTAATCATATTGAAAGAAGAAAGACAAATAGCATAACAAATGGGCCAGCACAAGGATGTGTTTATGCAGCTGAGGCTCTCAATGCCTCTGTAAGAGAAAAAACAAGTGTACATTTTCTAGAGTTACTGATAAACATCAAAAACAACTGTGTAAACACAAAGTTTTGAATTATTAAGTGTTGGGAAAGTGTGACTTTTTAATGCAGGAAAGTATGATTTATTTTTTTAGTGTTGGAAAAATTGAAAAAGTTTGAATTATTTAGTGGCAGAAACAGTAAACCAGAAAAACAAAACATCAAGTTAAAAACATAAAGATTGCCTTCCCAACATAGTTTTTAAAAATAAGTGTCACATTTTTTATATTACTACATCATGTTATTGTATTGTATTGTTTTAACCATGTTTGAGCCTTTGTCCTTTTACTTGGTATAGGTTGCCTTTGTTCTCGTCAATAATTCAACTTTTTTGCATTAATGAGGACTGTTCTCAAACTTTCTTAAAGAAAGAACAAACGTTATAAAGGAACATCAAGATGTAAAAAAAATTACCTATAATCCAACAAAAAAGTTATAAATACTATTACTATTGTAACTAGAAAATCAAGAAACTTACATAATACACCCAACACTCCAGCAGTAAAGTTCAATATTTACACTGTAGAATGAACGTTTCTGGTGTGAACAGAAAATGTTCATTCTACATTGTAAATATTTAACTTTACAGCTGGAGTGTAGCATACTCTTTAAGAATATATAAAAATAAAGTCACTAGTTAGTTGATCATTTTTTTCTTCTTGTATGTTGGGCTATTTATGTCTTGTGACAAACACATAGGAAGTGGATAAGATGCAAAGAACAAAGGAGGTCTTGAAAGGCAGGTGAAAGACTATTCTATGTGTCTAGCTGTCTAAAGAGAAAAAGAAACTCTCATAAGGACTAATACAAAATAAATAATATGTTCATTGATATACACATAACTTCATATGAACTCAGATATTTGTTTACTAGCCACTAATAATGGTTTGTGGCAGTATAGATGCATTTATGTCCCTAATTAGTGATTTTTACTGGGTAAAATATTTACCTGCAACCACCATGGCATCTATAAATTGTAATTTGGTGAATAAAATTATTGCATACAGCCTACACATTACAGCTTCTGTAAAATGCCTGGTTACCATTCACATTATGTAACCCAGAGCTATCTCAACACTTCTGTTCCTTTTAGACTAATAACCAGGGCTGTGGAGTCGCGTAAAAATCTACTGACTCCAACTCCGACTCCAACTTTTCCTTATCATCCGACTCCGACTCCAACTTTTCCTTATCATCCGACTCCGACTCTGGCTAAAACACCAAAACTCCACGACTCCGACTCCGACTCAACAGCCCTGCCAGGGCTGTGAAAGTCGCGTAAAAATCTACCGACTCCAACTTCAACTCCAGCTAAAACATCAAAACTCCATGACTCCGACTCCACAGCCCTGCTAATAACCAAATATTACAAACTAAAGAACACAAATATAAAAATTAGTTTAAAAAAGTGTTCATAAACCTTAAATCAATGCCATTCATTACTGGTGTCACAACTGTTTTTCACTATTTCATTTCATTGTTTTTCAAATGTCCTTAAAGATAGTGAAACAAAATCATTTCTTAATATCTGCATACAATAATTTATTTGTCATACTTTGCACATAGATAGTAAATTTATACAAGATCAGTTAACTGATACTAGCAGAAGCATTTGCAAAGCTGTTTGGACTTTACTGAAATACTGATAATTAAGGATTATATCAATTAGATCTTCATGTACAGAGATGTTATCTATTCATCATAAGACAGGCTTTTATGGAAAAATGTATTATATTACACATATAGCAATTAGCTTTGCTTATCCATCAAACTCATCTGAAACATCATTAAAAATATATACAAAGCAATATATAATAATAATAAAACCTAAACAGGACCAATTAAACTGTAGAACATAAATAACATTACTTCATTAAAAACACTGTTTATCATAAAGTTATTAAGGCTGTAATTTAAATGGAAAAATATAACAGTAGTTACAATTAGACCCCAGCTGTTTATGATTATTGGGAATGAAAAACACCACTCAGAAGAAAGATCAGAAAAGTGTGTGTGAAGTAGAGACAAAATTAGAAATGTATTGGGAGCCTGTAAAAACATTCAACAAGAAACTAAAAGAACATAAGGTGGGTGTTAAAAAACAAAAAAATGACTGTAGCCTTAACAGAACAGCTAGTTCTTAACAAAATAGCAATGGCTAAATGAGAAGCGGCAGAAGTTGTGTTAATAGCTGGCTAGATTTATGGAGGAGCATCCTGGACACAAGCCCAGGAGCGTCCACAAAAAGAATATAATAAATGTGAAAACAAAAAAAAAGACATTTGGTTAGTTTGATAGTATAAGGCAATACAACATGATCTGCTTAGGGATGTAGACTTTCAATGGGAAACTAGCTATTATTTAGGTGTTAGACATACAAAGAAAACCTGGAAAACTTCCACATTGCTAGCCTAATCATATAGTGCAAACCCACGACAACTGCCAGTGTTCAATTTACTCTTTCTTTTTTAACAACTCATCTTAATTTTTCTCAAATTTGAACACACAAATATTCTTTTTTTTTAAAACTGATTGTCATAACAACTGACAAAACTTCAAACAGTTAATTTCCTATTTCTAACAGCCAGTGTTCTGTGGTTTTATTACTCTGCCCTTAGTGGATTAAAAAGAAAAAGAGAGGAAAAAAGAAAAGAAGTAAGGAATGATTTACAGAATGAAATACAATACATTAGGCTATTTTAAATTTATTTTAAATACAGACTCTCTGATATTACCAATTAATTTTTATAGTTTACTAAAAGCAAACATATATTTAAAAGGTTACCTATTTTGTAAATGTTAGGATCTTGGGGTGTAAAAATCTCTAATCATAAAAATCGTTGTTATATATCTAACAAAGAATTGGTTTAATGGTTCGGACTGGACACTGGTCACATCTTGCCTGTCTAACTGACCCAAATAAAAGACTTTCCCGAATCTCTTGCCCACACATAAGTGTAACCTGTTCGGTTCCAGATTGGACCCTGGTTGTTAGGTTTTCAATGTGCAAAAACAACTGACCCAACAGTAAACATTTATCTTTATAAGATATTTTTATAGGTCAAACTAGAGCATTGGTTAAAATAATCTAAGCAATTTTCCTTATCTGAAATATGAAACATATATAAATAAGAAATTGATTAAATATATCTATTAAATTGGTTCATATATTTTTAATTTAGAAATTGTTATTACAAATGATCTATAATTAAAAACAACAGAAGCAAGTTTCTGTTTTGTTTTTACAGAAATGAGTTTCAGTCTAAATTACAGCATGATCACTCACTACATATTTTCTTATTTTCATGTTTAAATAATTAACTTTCATTAGTCATTAATAGCTATGCCAAAACTGTATGTACTAAATTAGATACATATCTAAACTGTAGTTTTGTTTAGATTTGCTCCTATAAATTAATAAACTCAACAAATTTATTTAGTTATTATGTTTGTTTCAAATACTAATTTTTAATATAATTTTAATTAGTTTATTAAAAGTAAATTTTATTTTTCATACCTTTGATCTATGTATGTGTTGATTTTGATATTCTGAATCAAATTCTGGTTCAGAGAAATAACTAACATCCTGTTCCCAAGTACTGTAAGCTTCACCACCATTGACATCACGTTCGTATATCCGTAACACTGATCTATCTCTAACATCTCTAAAAAATACATTATTATTATAAAAAGTGTATAAAGATTTACGATTAAAATAAAATATGATATGTTAATCAAAGTCAAAATTAAATAATTAATTAAATTTAATTGAATGCTGCACTCTGTAGTTAGTGATATTACAGAATTTCTATCATTTGCATTTATCATTGATTTTGATTGTAATTTATGATATAAAAAATATTAATAATTTTTATTTTCCTCATTTTTTTATTAAATATTATTTTAATAGTTGTGTTTGAAAATTTAATTTACAGTATATATTGCATTTTATTGATTTTAAAAAAATTTCAATAAAATCTATCAAAACTAAAGTCTGTAAACAGACATTTTTAAAAACAGTGTTTAAAAAATATAAGTAAAAAGAAACATAACCAAATAATCGCCTTAAATAATCAGGCTATGACGCCACTAATTTAATGATTAATACTAAGTAATTTGCTACTAGAGATAGATATTAGGTGCCATCTCTTAACTAAATTAATAATTATAATTTTAATAATTTATTAAATAATTTAGAATCATCTGGAAGAAAATTACAATCTGCCAGATTGTAATTTTAATAAATTATTAAAATTATAATTATTAATTTAGTTAAAGAGATGGCATCTAACATCTATCTCTAGTAGCAAATTACTTAGTATTAATCATTAAATTAGTGGAGTTACAGACTGATTATTTAAGACAACGATCACCTTGGTTATGCTTCTTTATACATATTGGGCTTTGCAATGTTTGATATACTTTTATAACATTTACAACATTTGATATACTTTTATTACTGACTTTGTAACATGAAACATCATTTGTAAAAAAGACAACTGTTTACCATAAATATAAATGTATGATATGTAATATGATTTATATGGCTCAATTATTTGGTTTATTTGCATACAGAGTGAAGCATCAAAAATTTGGACTCAACCACTGAAAAATGAGTATTAACCTTTTCAATGGTAACTTCATTGTTACAAATGTAAACATTGAATAATCCAATTCTTAATTAATAACAATAAATCTGCCAGATTGTATCAGGCTATATTATGGCTATATTTATTATTAAATGTAAACATAATACAGCCTGATATAATCTGGCAGATTATTTTGGGATTAACTTTATTTCTGATGTTCTAATATTCATTCAGAATATGAACATCTGAAAGCCTGAAAGTTATATTAAAACCAAGTGATTACTGGATTAAATCAGGCTACATTACCACTACAAATAATTATTAAATACTAAATAATTTGGCACTAGAGGTAAGCATTAGGTGCCATCTCTTATTAAATTTAATAATTATAATTATATTAAACTTTATTAAATAATTTAAAAANCGAACATTCAAACTTTCCGATTTTTGGGAACTGTTACAGAAACCCATCGTTGGATAGGCTCTTGCCCGACTTATTGGATTGTTGTAAGAACGATTTATGTATATTATTAAACGGTTTTATATGGTAAACCTGTCTCGGTGAGTCATTCCACGCCCACACGACAGTATTGACCGCATGGCTGTCGAAAACACCTCACCCCTAATCGGCTGACCTCACATATCTAAATTAAATATGTCTGGAAGTAAGGGATCAGACAATGATAAATGCAAATGATAGAAATTCTGTAATATCACTAACATCAGAGTGCAGCTTTGACTTTAATTAACATATCTCATAACTATCAAGTAGCATAACTGGCAACATATTCACATGGTAACCAGTAGTTGTGGGTTTAAGTTCCAATCTGGGTCAATTCTTTTATCTTGAAATTTTATAAAATTATTTAATAAATATTAATTTAATTATAATTATTAAATTTATTAATTTAGAATAACTGGAAGAAAATAATTGGCCCGGAGTGGGACTTGAACCCACAACTGCTGCTTACTGTGCGGATGAATTACAAGTTACTATGTTAGCCATGAATAACTAGTATAATTATATCTGTGAGGACCCAAACGGGGTCCGAAAGGACACCATTAACGACTTTTTAAATAAGTCAAGTTTCGTAGTGCAAAAGAGCGAACTTAAAGATTGGATTTAAACAATGAACCTTTTGTCTTGTTAAAAGATTTTAAACAATAGATAGAGTAAAGTCAAAGAAAACGAGGTTGGAGAGGAGTCGTGTTCTGATGCGACATTGACCTCTCCCGCGACCTTCTGGGTTTCGAATTGTCACCATGTGACGAGGAGAGACCAATGGAGAGGCGACCGCGGTGGAAAAATCAATAAAACCGCATTTTCGGAAACTTTACTGGGTCTTGGGTTTTGGTGCTCCCGACCGAGACACAACGAAGGCTCTTTCGACGACCTAGGAACTGGTTTCGCCAACCCGTCCACTCTAGAATCACCGAGATTCGACTTGTCAACCGAAGACATCACTACAAGTGCTGGTGAGTGCCCTGGGGCCATCGTTCTCTGCGTCCACAGTGCCAAAAGCTCCCCAGGGACCGATCGAACATTCAAACTTTCCGATTTTTGGGAACTGTTACAGAAACCCATCGTTGGATAGGCTCTTGCCCGACTTATTGGATTGTTGTAAGAACGATTTATGTATATTATTAAACGGTTTTATATGGTAAACCTGTCTCGGTGAGTCATTCCACGCCCACACGACAGTATTGACCGCATGGCTGTCGAAAACACCTCACCCCTAATCGGCTGACCTCACATATCTAAATTAAATATGTCTGGAAGTAAGGGATCAGACAATGATAAATGCAAATGATAGAAATTCTGTAATATCACTAACATCAGAGTGCAGCTTTGACTTTAATTAACATATCTCATAACTATCAAGTAGCATAACTGGCAACATATTCACATGGTAACCAGTAGTTGTGGGTTTAAGTTCCAATCTGGGTCAATTCTTTTATCTTGAAATTTTATAAAATTATTTAATAAATATTAATTTAATTATAATTATTCAATTTAATAAGAGATGGCACACCTAAAGTCTACCTCTAGTGCCAAGTTATTTGATATTTAATAATTATTAGTAGTGGTAATATAGCCTGATTTAATCTGGTAATTACTTGGCTTTAATTCATTCAGAATTTATGAATTTTTAAGTTTGAAATTGTAATTAGTATATTTTTTATTTAAATATAGCGATTCTGTAAATTATATTTTGAATCTTTGTAAGTATTCCTACATTCCTTGTGAAATACTGGCTTGAACTAATAACACTTAGATTTGAATTACAGTGTATTTGGAATTTGCAGTACTTAAAATGATAATTTACACATCTATTTGAAAATCCAGACAAATTTGAAAATACAGATGGGTATGGCACAATTAGTCCAGATTTTCAATGCTTCACTGTATATCAGTAACTTATAAAATAAATATATATCAAATAATTGAGGTCATATCAAAATTAAATATAAAAAAAATTTGGCTAAAAAGATTTTATGAAGTTTCGGATATGAGGACATAAAATGCCTTGATAACACAAAACTAAATATTTTAAGTGAAAGAATTGGTTTTTTAGAAAAAAAAATCAAAATAGCTGATTGATAAGACATTGGACTTTATTAGCATAGTATTATTAATTTATTCAAAACAGCAAATATATAGCTGTAAATTATCTGAAATTTTGTCATTAATGATGATGAGTTACATGAAAATTGTAACAATAAAACATTAATAATCTTCTAGATCAAATATAAAAATGCCATTAAAAAATTAGAAAAAACAAACAAAGCTGCAGATGCTATACAAAAAATTATTCACAATAAAATTTATAGTAAGATACTAATAAAACTATTAAAGATAAATAAATATTATCATTTAGAAATATTTATTAGAATACAATATATTTATCTGGAAACTAAAGAATGTTTACACAAATATGCAATGTATTTGTGTAAAAAGCACAAATAGTGTAGTATTAGTGTTACTATTTTTACACAAATAGTGTATGTATTTGTGTAAAAAGCACAATGTTTTGAAACAATACACTGTTCTCTAATATTCTATTAATATTCAGGTTAGGCCAATATATAAGCAATTTAATCTTAATATCTTTTCCTTTTTTTTCATTTTCACTTTTTCCACCTGGTGGCCACTAAGAGGGCTTTTTACATACCCATCATGGTTTTGTCCAAGTCCATAATTAGGGAATCAAATGATGAAAGACCAAGCCCAACATATCTAAAACAGACCACCCATGAAAAACTTTCTGGATTTTTCAACCATCCAAATTCAGTCCCAGTTTCCAGGATAGGATGACACCTTAACTGCCTCAGCCATCCAACTGTTTCTTAATAGCTTAAATATGATATAAATAAGGCAAGACCACAATCAATATTTGCATTTACAATTAATACACCATTAATCCAAATTACATTATAAGAATGGAAAAGGAGATATAGACTAACAGCACAAAACCTTTCTCACTAATTTCTAGCCTTATTAACCACAGTGTACCCGAGGAAGGCCTATTAAGAAGGCCGAAAACGTTTGTACTCCAGTTAATAAGGCTAGAAATTAGTGAGAAAGGTTTTGTGCTGTTAGTCTCAGAAATAGTTCTAGCTACATATGCATAGTAGAAAAGGAGATATGACTAAAGACATGAAAATTACATCCTATTAATTTAATTAATATGTGCAAATGAAAAATGTAAATTTAATAAAAGCGTGCTGAGACATTCTCAAAAGAACTGTTTACACATATCACAGAAGTACTTGAACTGATACATTGTGATCTACATAAACCAGGAACCCTCAAATATAAATACCAAGAACAATTCATGCTGTGTGACTCTCCAATCATAGATGGCATTAGGGTGGGCAAGAGTCAGCATCAACTTGCCCTAAAATCTTCTTGCCCACCCATACACTGACCTAAAATAATTTATTCAAGTCTATCTATATTGACCATTATTGGGAATTTCTTTAAATATGAAGTGATTGATTGAAGTACTTACACATTCTTTGTAAAAGCTTTTCTTGTTTGTCTTACTAAGATTCAATCACTAACTTTTAAAAATCAATATCAGTTTCCTTGATGATAAAATATGCAGATAACATTCATCTCATTAAAGCAATGTTCTGCTCTACCTTCACTCTTCCAGAATGAAAATCCCAGTGACATTACCGTCTCAAACTTTTAGAGTCAATTCTGTATCTTTATGTTCATTAAGCATCACTGAAATATTCTCCAGTTTGGACAATTTTTGATTGAGGTTCCTTTTGGATAATAAAATCCTAAATATGATATTGAATGTGGATGCTATTGCAAGGTCCTTATTATATTTTCACACAGGCATGGCCATGAGTCATTCCCAAAATCATTCATACAGCCATACAAAAATATTTTCTTACAACTCCTAATGTAGATCCAGATTTTAATCTATAATGGAAGATAAAACTTAACAAAATTGATAAGAACAATTTATACACTGAAATAAATTAGTGACTTAATTTTGATTTAAAAGGTCAAGAAGCCTTTTAAATCAAAACTAAGATATAAAAAAAAATAACAGGAAAAAATAAGAAATCAGAGCATAAATCATCAGAGAAATAAAATTACAATCAGCAAATACACCAAAATACTAAATATTTGACAAAAGAAAAATTAAACTAAAAATAATCTCTTTAAATCATTAAAGAAAATTATACCAAATATATTAACAGAGGATAGAGGAAAAAACTGCTTTCTAACATATATATCTAAAAACAATGTTATAAAAAAATGAATTTTCATAAATATTGAAAATAAATCTCAATCAAAAACTAAATCTGTACAAAACAAATTGACCTAAAACAAAAAATACATGCCATACAACATAATAGCCCAAAAAAATCTTGTTTACAAGGTATATCAATGACCTGCTTATGCCTGTCATTGCATTGGCTTTTCAGGGAGTGGGGATTAGTGAGGTTGAGTTGGGAGAGGGTAATAAAAACAATGATCTTAGTAACTAAAATGTACATTTATTGACCCAAGTATTTACAATAGTGAGACTGTCAAACACAAAAAAATATTGCTCAGGCTAAAATTAATAAGGAGGACTTTTTCTACAGTTTTCAAGAATAGTCATGCCAAATTTTGCAAGGATATGTTGAATGGTATAGAACCCTTTGGCCTATCTGGATCAAGAAAGAGCTACATAAAGCATACCATGACTGAAAACTGGCTCTGGTAAATAAATACCAACCTTACCAAGTGTCTATCCTTGATGATTGTTCATTATCATGGCAAATGCCAGAATGATGGGAAAATGAAGTCCTTTAATTGTAAAAGGAAAAATACTATCGCCTGAAGTTAATGGTATCCAAGGAAGCATGTGAATGATTCTATGGTGTTTGCCCATCAAAATCTTGATATCAATTGTATTGTTAAACATACCACATATAACTAATCTTGTTCCATTAACCAACTCTTTTTTTTGTCAAGATTTCTGATTCACATGACATAGCTCAAATCTTTAATATTAACTTATATTGTGGGAGTCCATTTATCAGAATTCTGTGCAGAAATTCTATTGCATATCTCAAGAATACATTGCTAGATATTCTTGAGTAGTTAAGTTTTTCATACAGAATGTTCTCAAGAACCTCTTGAAAATGGGTAGAATACAACTTTACTTTTCTTTGCATTTTCTATTAGGTTGTTCAGAAAGCAAGTTCGTTTTTTTTACCACTCGACAAATTGGTCTTATTTTTCCCACCATTTTCATTCTAAACTGTATTATCGTTATATACTTTGACAGCTAGCATTTCAAGGCTTATTTGTAAAAAATTTTGTTTGATTCTGTGCAATTGTTTATTTTTTGTGTCCCAGCAAATATGGAAGATTGAAAGCATCATTTTTGGCATATTTTGCTTTTTTATTACCAAAAAATTAAAATGCTGTTCAAGCAAGAAAAAAATTGTGGTACATGTATGAAGATGATGTGTGGAGAGAACAGAGACAACAGTGCCAAAACTGGTTTACAAAATTTCGTTCTGGCAATTTCAATATTGAAGATACACCACGTTCTGGATNTGTTCGGATTTGATCCTGACTACCCGAAAGCAATAGATTAATGCTTTACCGTCCCAGCCATCCAGCCAGATTTAACACATTCATTCATTACTGCTATTTATAATAAATTAATTACTAATACTGTTGTTTTAATATCATTTAAAAGTAAGCAGCTTAAATTTGATAGAATTTAATTAAATATATCTAAATATTGTACGTCTTTAGTCTAAAACACAACATAAATTAAAAATTGAGAGGATAAACTAATGGTTAAATGATAAAAATTTGATGAAAATGTTTTAAATAATTTATAATTTTCAAATCACTATGTTTTTTTTTAGTTAATAGAGGAATTAACAGATGGCGCTATTCATTTTTACTATTTATTTTAGACGATTGTTTTAATAAAATATATATATATATGTTAAAATATCAACTAATATATTTGTTAGTCCTAAAGCATATAAATTCTATCGAATCTCCTATAAAGTGCACCTCTAAATGGTGGCCACTTTCAGGAACGTTTCTTTCCGAAATGCATACAAAATACCCTTCAAAACATTCACCTCCGTACAACAGACATTTTGTATTTTCCCTTCAGTGGCTCTTTATCAGAGGTTTTATACAGGTATGTAATTAGGAAAATTTAACTCTTTATCCTATTATAAACCAGATTATTAATAGCTTTTAATGTGAAATTCATACAGATAAGTATATTTTTATATCAGAAACTAAAGAAATTTATTAAATTTATTAACATTAAAAAATAATGCAAAAAGTCAAGAATTAGCAAAAAAGCAGAAACTATTAAAAAATTAAATTGCTCAAGCACCTGATATGTTTGCCCCATACACTTAACATTTTACTTTTGCCACTCTTACACACCTTAACCACTGCACCCTTTTCAAATCTCTGTTCAGTAACATCATCTACAGCAGTGTTTCTCAAAGTGGGCGATAATGCCCCCTTGTGGGCAGTGAGTAAATCTAGAGGGGCGATGGAGTACTGAACGGTGACCAAAGGCAAAAGTCGGGGTCACTGACAGCCGTTCCCTTTCCTCTGTTAAACGTATAAGAAGAAACATTGCATTTAATGGTTTCCAGATGTTGAGAACAATGTACGGTAAGGACACAAAGTGTGAGATTCGTAGAAAATTTTTCCTAAGAATATGTCCAATCCTTTCTCACACAAGAGAAAATGGGTTAGGGGGCGTTGGATATAACTTTATGGAACAAAGGGAGCAGTGGATCAAAAAAGTTTGGGAATCACTGATTTACAGGGTAAGAGCTTTAACTTGATACCTGAATTGTATTTTTAGCTTGATTTACTCAAGTCAGACAAATTGAAACCCTCTTTCAATTAATATATATAAAAAGACTGTTAAAATGATATATCGCTACTTTGGAAGAAAACTGGCATAACTCAAAAAAGTGTGATTTTTCGATTATGTCATAATCAAAACGAAAATGTAGTAAATTTTTATGTGGAAGGGTGTCACAAAAGTATCTTGCGTATTCAGCCACTAGGAAGCAGTTATGTGGGAGATAAGTGATATTCAGTTAAAATTTGGTTAAATCTTTGCATGAACTTTTTTCTCAAAACTAGTAATTTTCAGTTGTGCCAGTTTTCTTCCAAAGTAGCGATATTCATATTTTACAGAAAAATAACAAGAATATATAATTTAGGAATAAAAGCAAGTTTTTCAGACAAATTTGAAATGAAAAATATCGTATTGCACAATCAATCAAGATGTAACATTTGTTCTGAATCTTGTTTGGGATTGCCTACAACAAATGTTTATGACAAAAATTTCTAATATAATAAGAAATGACTGATGTATAACACAAGCAGAAACTACATCAATGGATATATGGATTATAAAATCATTGAAAACAATTTAAGAATCTACATTAAATCACAAACCAAGATATGACAAAACTCTAAAATAAAAATAAATTCTTGAAAAAGCAATTACTTTATCTATTTCTAAAATTTAATACAGTATATATACTAGCACTAAGATAAAATAAAACATTATTTATGATATCATTATGACTAACATCAACCTTTAACCAGTGTGAATACGATTAATATTTGAGAGAGAAACATATTCGTAACCCCTTCTAGGCTCTTCTGAATTAAAAAAGAAGCCTGAAGAAGAACCCAGAAGAGGTTACGAATATGTTCATCACTTAAATATTAATCATATTCACACTGGTTAAAGATTGATGTTAGTCTTAATGATATCATAAATAATGTTTTATTTTATCTTAGTGCTAGTATGTGAGTCATATTTATTCATCCTACTGTGTTGTGAAGTTAAGTATTTAAGATATCAAATAAAAAGAACAAAAAAAAAAACTAATAAACTGAAATTTTTCCTTGAGTAAAATCTGATAATAAAAGTTGAACCTATATTCAGTTAAAGCAGAGTAAGAAAAAGGAATTGGTAATATTTAATTTTATACAATGGTATTTATTATCTATTTATATTTACCTCAAATCTTCTAACTCATAAAACATATCTTTGGAAGGATCATGAATATAAATACGAATGTGAGGTGAATCTAAATACTCCATAGTTAATTGCTTTGGAAAAGAGCGAACAAATAAGGCTTTTATTGTATCCAATGTTGTTATTTCATTTGGCAAAAGAGCACGTTTGGTTTCACTCCTATATTGCAAAAATACTAAACCTGTAAATACAAAATAAAAATTAAATTTTAATGTAAAAATCCTTAAAAAATGTAATTAACTTTATTGTAATAACTGTAAAAGTCACTATTTCCTTTAAAAAATATTTGAATAACAATATATTATTAAAACAACTCAATTTTTGTTTACATATAGAGTGGTAAAAAATCTTTCCCCAGCAAATTATTTCAAAACCTAATAGGGAAATGAGCAATTATTTATTGTGACATAATTGCAATGCCAGGCTGCAATTTTTTATCATATTTTTTACTTATTTAATTTAAAATATATGCCTCACCTCAAATTAGTAGTGTCTTGCCCCTGTACATCACACTTTTCCTTTAAGAATATGATTATGTTAGTCATCTATCTAACACCATTCAGGGAAAAATTTTTGAATTGAAATAAAATGACTTCCAATGCAAAGGAAGATTGTATATAGCTAACTGGGGCATACTGCCCCTAAACTTTCCATCTCTGGTCTTGACTTTCATCTATCTAACTCTGTTCTCGAGATTAAGGAAGAACAGACAGACAGAAGGATGACAGTGGGAATTTATAGGTCTACAATTTTTTCAAATTGCAGCCCAATTATTGTTGACCATTTGCTAATACATACTACAGTATATTAAACTTGACCTAAACTATGATGAGAATTTCTGTCCCCTGCAGTGCTTATATTGAATAAGACTCTTGTAATCTCAGTCCCTAATGAAAACACTGTCCATTACAAAATTTTTGTGCATGAAAATCTACATACTACAGTATTACCATTTATTGTATTCTGAAATATGAAGTGGGATTAAGTTGTTAAATATGTTAGGTAAATAATCCACTGCACAACATACAAAGGAGAGGGATAGCAATGCACCACTGCATAACATAAACAGAGTGCAAGATGGTTAAATATGCTGTTAAGTTTAGGTTAACAATGACATAGTACATAATGCTAAGATGATGATTAGGTTAGCACTGTTTTATTTAATAGTGTTTGATATTTTCTATTAAATCTGTTCATTTGTATGTTATATATCACTGTGATAAACAGAAAGTGATTTGTTTCTTAATACATGCTGTAATATATGTTGATGATTTAGATAAACATTAAATGTAATGTAATATATGTTGACGATTTAAGCAAAGGAAATGTAATCAGGTAGGTGTCGAGGTGGCAAGATGGAAATGGAGAGAGAGAGAGCTCAAAGGAACCAGCTGGATGTAGAAGTGTTTAGTTGTATTAATAAAGAGTTATTCGTACCATATTATCTGGTCAGTTGAGTTGTTTATAATACACATGCATTCAGCATTCAAGACAGCGAATGAGAAGAGATATGTTTGTGTTTTTTCTGTTTATATTTTTTACTTTATATAGTTTGTTTTATTTATCAAGATTTTGACAAAAATGAAAGAGTGAAATAAGAAACATTTTCTTATAAGAAAAATTAAAATTATAAATATATTTTAATATGCCTACATTTGTCAGTCTCACACTATGCTTATAATTTTAAACCCTTATTAAAATAAGAATAATTAGGAGGGAGGAGGATAAGAATATGTACTGTGTATTTCTCAAAGTCGGCAATACTGACTGCAGAAGTTCCCATGAATGCATTTTGCTGTTAATGGCAAAGTATGATGGAACCAACTTTTGTTGATCTGTGAGTCACCAGGGCATTGATAGATTAGTAAACATTTTTTTTGTTTCGTTTCCATCAATAACTTTACAGACTCAGGCCACAAGCTTTCTCAATTTTGTTGCTTAGGTTGTGAAGTTGAAGAATCTGAAGGAATAAAGATAGAGAATAAAGCTAAAGCATGAGGTAACTTTCGTGTTAATGTCTGCCTGAAGTTATACTCTATTGACAAGTTTGTGGAATTTTGTTTCAGAGGGTAAGAGTATACATAACAGTACCAGACAAAAGTATACACATACTTTTTTTCACCACCTACTCTTATCCTCCAAGTGATAGCCTTTAACTTCCAACTTCCATTCTTACAGAAACCATGGGTAAAAACAAAAGAAAAACTGATTGAAAACTAAACTTTACAAAAGAGAGTCTGGACGAAGCAAAAACTAAAACTGATGATAGAGAAAACAAGCATTTAGTGGAAAATGTATTTGGTGTACTAGAATGTACCCCGAGGAAGTGTCTGAAAATTGTAAAAAGAAAGATTTAAAAAATTTGTAGGTCTGTTGACATTTGTTTTACAAATTTATTAGGATTTTCTCGCATTGTTTCAAGGAACTGTACCAATGCCTTTGGGACAATTCAAAAGAGTTTTTAGTGAAGAATTAAAATAAAAATTAGCTAATCACAGCCATGATTTGGATGGAAGATACTACAGATTAACTAAACTGAAACTGATAGAAATTGCTTACCAATTTGTGGAGAGAAACAATTGTCACTATTGCTTAACGAAGTGAAGATGATGGCTGGAAAAGACTGAGCCTATGATTTTTCTAGATGATATGGTTTTAGTTTGCAAATACCTAAAATTGCAACTTGAGCCATTCAGTGGGTTTTAACCTGATAAAGGCACAGTGAATTTTTGAGAATTTGAAGCAAGTTTATGAAGAGAAAAAATTTTAGCCACATAAGATTTCCAACATAAATGAATTTGATATAACAACAATTCCAAACAAGTCATCTAAGGCATACACTCCAAAGGGTAAAAAAGGCTGTCATAAAAGTTGCATCAGATGAAAGTAGGCAGTTTCAGTAGTTTGTTGCATGATCACCTCAGGAATTTACATACTTCCTGTTTTAATTTTTTCTGGAAAGCAACTTATGCCAGCAACTATGATGGTGCCTCCATATGGCATTCTGAAGCTGATATCCAACTCTGGTTATATATAGACAGACCACTTCATTCAGTGGCTGAATAATTTTGATGAACATAGTCAACCAACAGCTAAAGACCCTACCTTTCTAATATGGACATTCTTTGCACTGTTCACTTGAAGCTGTTCTTTTTGCCAGAGCCAATTTCATCACTTTGTAAATGCTGCCACCGCATGCCAATCACAAAATGTAGCCAACTGATTGAAATTTCTTTGGATATCTAAAAGAATCTTACTCTAAAGAAGTGGGAAAATGGTTGATGGGATACCACAAGTTACTAAAAAGTAAGTTACCAGGCTTTTCCATGCAGCCTTAAAATCTTCAATTTCTTGTCAAAACTATACTTGCTTCTTTCTTTCTTTCTTACTTAGCCAACAGGAAAGGTAAGTGACATACATCTTTCAGAAAAAAATGTACTCTGATGAAACAATAAACACTGAAAATGCAAAAAATAAAGTGTATACTCTTTAATCCTTTTAATATAGAGGAGAGAATTTTCTACAGTATTAAGAAACATTTCTGTGTCAGAAGTCATATTCAAACTTTATGTCCTTAAACAAATGCATGCATTTTGCATGTAATTCATCTACGCAGATAATATAAATGTAACTAGTGAAGAAAGCTGCACATTCCCACATGGCAGTGATGTACTGTGTATTATGCAATAAAGCATTTACCTTCATATTTGATCCATTCTGAGATTCCATTTGATACTTTATAATACACTAAAAGGTAATACTGTAGTACCTATTATTTTATGCACAACAACTTTCTAATTGGCATTATCGTCCTATTTTCATCAGCATAGAAAACTTTGATTGCATTTAGAAAGATACACATCTTTTCAGATTAAATTAAATAGGAATACTAATTATGATTACTCTGTATTTTCAGAGGATTCATATAAACTTAAAAATAATTTCATGCATATAAAACTACTGAAACAGCATATATCCTTCAGAACATTGTTTGAACAAAAATAAAACATCACATAACTTGCACCACTATACATCTTTATATCTCCAAAGTAGCCATTGAAATCATGACACTTACCTGTATGCAGTTTAGAAGGTATTGTCTCAAATATTCTGTTTTTCTCTTGTTTCTTTTTTATTTCCATTAGCAGTTCATTGTAAATAAAATTAAAAAACAAGTGAAATGAAAATAACACAAAATAATTGAGATGGAATCCCTTAAAACTGCAGTTTCAAAAATACAAAATGGCCACCAAATAACAAATGTTTTTATTTATCACATAATATTAATTAGATATTATAAAAATAATACTCACACATTCATTTGAAGTTATGTATTGGACTCATACAACAGAATAGAGGCAACTCAAAAAGAAAATACAAACATTAACAGCATAACAAAATTAACCTAACTCCTCCATAGAAAAGTTGATTCTTCATAAAAGAAAGAAAGCAATGCCTCATGGATATAAGAAATCTCTACAAATAAATACAGATATTGCAAAATTATTTCTACAAAACACAAGAAATATCACAATCACATAATGTTCTAACTCTGGCAGACAAAAACAATAACCATTAAATCTATAAGAAACTGACCTGAAATAGAACAATACATAAAATACACAAACACATTAGATAGTCTTGGACCTATAAGGAGCTCTATAATAGGCACCCTAATGATCTTAGCAAGGATCACATTAACAAAACTGTGTCAAACTGTGGTTGGCTTAGTGATGCCTCTTTGAAAATGAAAGAATTTATAATTGTCATACAAGACAAAGTTTTAAATAAAAAAAACTAAAAAACATACACACACAATCAAAAATCCAGCTCATGAAACATGACAATGGAGAAAATAACATTTTCAATTGCTTTCAGCAATCATCCTCAAGTTAAAACCTTATTTGGAAACATATCAGAATAGAATGTATGATGGAATGTAATAATTTACAAAATTGTTACATTCAAAATTGAATGTAAAAATACAAAATTGCTAAATTCCATCATATGTTCTATTCTTACATATATTTCCAAATAGGTTCTTTAACTTGAGGATGAAAATGTTCTTTTCTCCATCATTATTTCATGAGCTGGATTTTTGGTTATGTAAGTGTTTTAAATATTATCCAGTATTTAGTGTATTCATTACTACGAAAACACATATTAAAATTTATAACACTTACAGACAACACTTGCCAAGAATGCCACATTATGCATGAAACTGTACAGAATATCACATTAAGTTTCAAACATTCAGTACATACAGATTACTTACATTGACATAATCAAATAACAAATATAATATATCAAAAGCTTACACATAAACAAATTAGTACAAATGCAACTATCATACTACAAATATATATTGCAGTTTTAGAAAATAACATGCACAAAATATACTATAACTAAACCATGATCACAGGCAAAACAATCCATCACAACAAACCAGACATCATATTCACTGACAAACAAAATAAAATCACATTCATCATAGATATATCCATTCCAAATATCATAACTTACAAAATAAATACACTAAAAAAATTAGTAAATATTCAAACTTGCCCATGAAATAAACCATCTATGGAAAATGAATAAGATATTCATTGTGCTTATAGTGTTCTCTTGCATTGACACTACAAACAAATCTAGAAATATTTGAATTGAATAGCAGCATATATATCACAGTGCAGGAAGGTTGCTACTAAACATGTTATATATTCAGGAAATTTTTAAATACAGTCAAATCTCAATTTTCGAACAACCCACTTTTCAAACAGATTAGTTCACAAACAGAATTTCAAATTCATATTTGCCCCATTTGTCATATTATAACTCAGCTGCTAAACAAACTACTCAGCAAGAGCCAACCATAGATCAGAGAGAAACAGATGGTAAACTCCCTAAGTTTCCTATGTTATAGAAAATCAACAGTCTGACCAGTTAGTGACAGGAATACTGATTCAAAAGTTAGTGGCACTGAGATCACCTACATCATTAGATGTCATGATATGAATCACCAATAATTATGCTATCTAAATTCGATTTAAATGCACTTGCAGGAAAGTTACTACTTCTATTTTTCAGTACATGTCACAATTGAATTTAAATTAAATTAATAAAAACTACATTAATTGACATTCACGTAATATAAATGACATCCAAGAATTTGTCTTTAAAGGTGCGTAAGTCAAATTAAATAACAAAAGTTTATTATATATAATATAGTATTACATTATCTACAATATTACATTGTTTTTGTAGGCATTCTAGAATGAAATAAAGCTAAAAAAGTAAAAAAAAAGGCTTTATTTTGGGAGTCAGAAATGGATTAATCCATTTTATATGATTTCTTATGAGAAAATTTTTTTGGTTTTAGAACAACTGTTAGAAACAAATTATGTTCAAAAACCAAGGTTTGACTGTACAGTATAGTACATACACAAACAACACATAAACAAAGTAACATTTTTGCTCACTAACTGTCTTGATTTTGGTCCAGCTTACATAAGCTATAAATAGCATACCTATGGGCAAGGTAATCTAACTAGATGAGTTTTGATTGAGAAGTCAGACAAAGAGTGTTACACATCTATTCCTAAATGAGGAATACATAAACCAAGAAAACCATACCAGACTGTTCATCATCTAGGTCAGTGTTTCTCAACAGGCGTGATATTGCCTCCATGTGGGCATTTTTCCATGTTGAGGGGGCAATTAGTAACAATTTATATTTTCAGGGGCAAAAAACAATTTTCTGGGCAATATAGTAAAACATTATAGTAAGAATAATTAGATATTTTATTCAGTATATCATACAATAATTAAACAAATAACATTATACTAGTCACTAGTCTATTCAATGCTAGCCTGCTCAGCCCCACCAGGACCAAAAGGTGCTCCTATGATTTCACTCCAACATCTTGGCTTAAGAAGCAATTACATGACAGCACTTGGAACAGTTGGCAAAACAGATGGGATAATAGCCCCACAGGTAGACTCATCTATCGATTTATCCCAGATGTCCAACTCAGGAACAGTTGCAACTTTATAACACCAACTTTTCAAATAACCCAAATAATGTCAGGACATGGGAACTTCAGGTGTTATCTTAAAAGATTTCTACATAAGACAGACAAACTTTTTACTTGTCAAACGAATCAAGAAGATAACCCGGAGCATGTTTTGTTCCACTGCCCACACTACAGTAGGCAAAGAAAAATGTTAATAGACTCTGTGCGTACAGCAAATGAACTGTGGCCTTGCCTATTAAAAACTTTAACGAGTAGCAAAAGACTATTTAATGCACTAAAAAACTGCCACTAGCATAAAAATCCTCAACTAAATTTATAGTGTTTGCCTACACCTACAAAGTATTTACTTTCTACACGAGTTTTATCTTTGTAATTCTGTATCCCTAGAATTGTACATGGGTCCTCTTTGTTTTTATAAGTTTTTGAAACACTATATTATTGTATGGGTACATAATTTGTAAATATATCCTTAAGCAAGGGCTTCTTATTTGTTAACTTTGTATTACAATCTCATATGTCTTCAAGGTAAATTGATGTATATACTCCAAAAGTGTACAACTACATTTTTGTAAAATCTATACTTGTACAAGTTTAAATTTGTAACCGTAGTTTTTAATTTAGAATATAGCTTCTTTGTATCTGCTAAATTTATTACAGTAATACCTCAACTTATGCCACCCCAATTTACACGAACTCGGAGTTACGCGATTTTCAAATCTCGTCGATTCGTCTTTTCTTTGAGCGCCACGCAACTCTTGCTTACTCACTCCCCCCACACTATTATTCAGCTTACATGTTCGGACGTGTCGCGCGGAATCGACGCATAGCTACAATTTATTTTGTGTTATTTATTTTTGTGTTTGTTATATCTACGGAGACTTGAGAGACTCTATGTAGTGATTTCTTGTAACCATGAACGAATCAAAAGACAAGATAAGATTAACGAGAATATTTATTAGCTTACATACATCTGACTTGGATTTTACACAAATTGCAAAATTATACCCCGACTTACACTGTTATCGCTCGGTCCCATCTATTGCGTAAGTTCGGGGTATTACTGTACATCATTCATACAGTGTATTGAAAGCTCAACACTTGGCATGTAACTCGTCAGTGTAAATACTTTATTCAAATTTTGTACATACGTTTTCTTTGTAAATATTTTCTTTCATTGGTTGTAAATAAGCGTTGCGGTGACCATGGGGTTGCATCGAATATCTTAACTTTCATTCTATCTTATCTCGCTTTATTTCACCTTCAACCTGAACCCTTCCTAAAACTTTTATTCTTCTTTCCTTTTCATGTTTCTTGGGCTTTACCAAAGAGTGCAGCCAATAAACAATTCTCTAGTCTATTCAATGCAGTATGAATTTGGCATTAGCCTTGGCCTTTGGCATCGGAATTTTGAAGTAAAGGGTGCGATACTACGTAACGGTTTTATTGAAGGGGGTGACAATTCGTTAGAGGTTGAGAAACACTAATCTATGTCAACAAAGATTTAGCTGATGCTATAGCTCCTTCTTATATAACAACTCTAAGTAATTTGCCTCTGCTTCACCAGAAAACACCACAAAGTATAAAGAGACTGTGTCTTAATCATAAGCAGGTCGGGCACCCAGTGGTCACTGAGGTGTCTGAACTACAAGGTCAGACTGAGTTAAGTGATCAGGCTCAAGTCTTAGCTCTAGCGATACTACCCAATAGGGACGGAAAAGCCTTCCTTGCCTTCCTCCCTCTCGAGTCCAACCCACATACATTGACATGAAGTTTTGTGTGCATCCTATGCTGCACTAGAGTACTCTACCATTGAGAGTATTGTTTAAACATAGCGGTCAGCAAGGTCCCTTTCCCCTAGATAAGAGGGACCCTGCCTGGTGGACTAGAGGTCGAATAGACACAGTATTACTTCCATCAATTCCTTTAATGTCTCCAAGTTTCCTTTACTTGCTGCTAGCATTCACAGAGAAAGTATTTGTCTTCGGGCTGTTCCAATCGATGTGACGAGCCCTCCTACAAAAGTCGTCCATATGGGAACACTCAAGTGCATAGTGCCTGCATTGCTGCATGGGCACCCACAGGAGCAGCAACCATCTCCATGTCCAAATTTGGACTTGAAGTGAGGAAACTTCCCATGTCCTATAAGGACCTGGGTCAGCATCCAATTACAACTGATCAGAGTTAGGCCAACTTAAGACATAAAGGCATAGGATGACCTACCCAGTGCTCTTGACAGAGGTGTCAGAGTATCATGGGCTTTGGGTCTGTGTAGCAAGCTTTTTAATGCTTGCTGTCCGTTGTCGTTCTTTGGTGAGGGACGACTCTGGCGGAGTTTCTAAAATCTCCCTAAACTGGAACCTATCCCCGCTGGGGCAGACGGCTACAAGAGCTGCAAATTGGCATTGCGGCATGCAGACTCACACTAAAACAGAAGGGAGACTGGTGCAGTCGAGGCACAGTGGCTATCCTTAATAGTATCAGCAATAAGAGGGCCAAAATGAGCCCTCAGTAAGTCTGGAGCTGGAGGATGGTCACTGTAGCCGTTACCAATATGGTTCCTAAGGAGGACTTGTCTTCAGACAAGATATGTGGAGTGTAGTCATCTGGACTTGTCTGACATAAGTTGGTAGTCCTGCTGATAGAAGTGTAGGCACTCATTAGCCTGTGGTGTGATGGCACTCGACGGGCGCTGCCGAAAAGTGACAGGGACATTTCGCTTTGATGGAACAGTCCCGAGTCCCCTACTCGCGATGGTCAAATCAACCACTTGTAGCGAGATGCACATTGTACCCTGGGATGATGAGTTACGTCCCTGATTACACATATAGGAGCACACAGTGGACGCCGAAACTTCTGGATTTAATTC